TCTCTGTACCGTTCCAATTGTAACGGATGTACACCTCTGACAATTTTTCAATTGTGGATGAAATTCCGATGAATATGAAAGCTTAACTGGGTACAGGAAGGTTGTTGCGTTCAAAGCGCTGCACCGTCGTTGACTGGCGCACCTGTCTCCTTTTCCTTTTTTTTTTTCTTATTCTTTTTCCTTTCTTGCCCTAATGGCAACATGCTGCAAACTGTTTCACTGACTTGTAAACACCCCAAGTTTTTTTTTTTTTTTTCTTGTGCGTAGTGGTCTTTTTCAGACTTTCTCTTTCTTCTTCTTTTTTGTTTGGATTGCGAAACTTCATGGCAGTTCATGCACCCCACCCTCCAGGTCTGAAGTTAAACGAACTCTCCATTTGCCCCCCGAACTGTTCATTTTTCTTCTCTACAAGGAACGGGGCAAAACCTACAGTGCCCGGGCCCGGTAGAGGTTCGGTGGAGAAGGGTACCACAATCATTTTTGCTCACATCGACGCCGTAGATGTGAGGCTCAGGGAAATGCAATTTTTGGTTTGTCAAAACAGGCCCGGATGGAGTGGTGGCTTAAACCACCACTACCTCCTAGCCTGTTTTTGCCGACCCTGATTTTCACTGCGCACCGAGTTTTGCCGAGCCTGGGTTCCGTTTTGTCTTTTCTGCTACTCTTCTAGAAACAGAAAGAAAAAAGCACGGCCAGACTTTCAAAAAACGACCCGCTCACAGCCACAAAAAAGTAAAAGGAAGAAAAACAAACACCCCTTTGTCACGTCCAGGTAGATTCACACAACTACCCGAAAGTAGTTGTGTGAGTATGGTAGTTGTGTGAGTATGGTAGTTGTGTGAGTATGGTAGTTGTGTGAGTATGCTAAAAGGGCCTTTACCCGATATAGGCCTCAGGCCTTGTAAAAATAGAGCAGCACGGGCCTTGTAAAAGTAAAGCATTGTGAAAAGGTATTTTGCCAGGGCTCAGAAACGTGAAAACAGGTCAAAAGTCAAGTTCTCTATCAACAGGCACATCTAAATATAAGGCAAAGGGCATTGTCAAAAGACTTACCTGTTCACCAGGAGATGTGTATGTCATGTCTGTTCGAGTAAGGGTGTGTCTGTACGTGTAGGCAGTGTACCTGTTCGTGCAATGGAAAGTGC